TTTAAAGTAAACCATGGCTTCAATAATGCAAGCCTAAACCAATTGGTTATAAAGTATTGATCACCGGCGATGTGGTTGTTAAAGCCCTTTATTCAGCATCAGCTTGAAGACCAATTTACAATATTTTGTTTCTTTGATTTCCAAAATTTTATTGAGTTTCCCAAAAATATTGTATAATCAATGACACTTTTCCTTGTATCTAAATAGCTAGCCTAATCACTATCACAATAAGCAGTTAAATTTACAGAAGTGTATAGGGAAGATAATATATATTTATCCACAGTCCTCTTGATATACCTCAGAATTATGTGTGCAGCGTGCAATATTGTTCGTTTGGCTAAGAATTGACTGAGACTTTGAATACTATAACATAAGTCAGGTCTGGAAATGGTTAAGCATAAAAGCCTACCAAATAATATAACATACTCAGTGACATCAATGTGTTAACATTCATCAGTAGCAGCAATTAATTTTAAAGATGCATCCATATGAGTAGAAGCATGCTTAGAAGCTAGAGACCAGTATCAGATAATATATATAGTGCATACTTCCTTTGGCACCTATTTATGCCTTTTTCAGAACGAGCAAATTCTAATCCCAAAATATATTTAAGTTGACCTAGATCCTTGATAATAAAACAAAAATGTAAATGTTGTTTGATGACATTGATTGTAGTAATGTCATATCCCGTCACAATAACATCATCAACATAAACAAGGAGAGCTATTAATGTAGATTTATCAACGTTAAACATGTTGTAGTGCCATCTTACTTATCCTTTAGAAATCTTTTCAGAAATAATTTAAAATTTTCTTTTAAAAACTTTTCAACTTAAACTTCACTCGCGCACCACTTAAAGACACTTTTTTTTAAACATCCCAGATTGGGATGGGGGGTTGAGGCTTCACCCCCAACCTGTGAATATAATGGCCCAGATAGGGCTAAAAAGTAAATGGTCTACATCCAAGTCGAAAAACATAGAGCAATATAAAAAACAAAAAAAAGTACAAGGATCACAAAAATGTCCGATGTGGATCTAAAATCAAATCCTCATAAAAGGTCGTCCTGGTCAGAGTGACCTGGCATGGGGTCCAAAATGTCAAAATTAGTCAGGGGCAGGTGGTGGCGGTCGACTGAATCTGAAGGATGGATACTCTAACTGGTCCATCCGAATGAGCGTTCGAAACCGGAGGGGTAAAGACACTTTCTTTTCTCTTTAAAACTTAGCTTAAGTCGCTCCTTGAGCTTTTAGGAAAATCTAATAATAATATGTGTATTTACATATTTAGCCTTTATGTTGTAATAGTTTAGCAATGTTGTCATTTTATATTCAGCACTTTTAGTTCTATTTGTATTTAGTATAAAAGGGCAAATCCTATGGAGAAAACCCTAACAATTCATTTTCCAAATTCAATAGCAATACCCGTCTTCTTCATCTATCTTTCTCTCTCTCTGTATCTTTCTCAATCACGATCCAGTTCATGTAATATGGTATCAATCGCCAGGAAAATTTCTGTTTTCTGATTCGCTTCCGCACGATCTATACTCTCTTTGTTGTTTTCTCTGAAATCGCGATCTCAATCGCGCATCTGCTGTTCGATCTATACTGAAACCCTAATTCTCTGTAATGGCGCTCAATCCTTCTGATGATCCTTCATCCGCCTTCTACCTTCATCCGAGCGACAACCCCGGCGCACTCATCGTCGCCGACATCTTCAACGGCGACAACTATGTCTCCTGGAGCCGCGCTGTCGTCATGGCCCTCAGCGTCAAAAATAAGATCGGGTTTGTTGACGGTTCTATCACTCCGCCACCACCTACTGGTAACTCTGCTCAATTTCTTGCCTGGAATCGAGCGAACAACCTTGTTCTCTCGTGGCTGTTAAATTCAATTTCAAAAGAAATTAGGCAGTCTTTATTATTTTTCACATCTGCTCGTGATGTCTGGGAAGAAATGCGAACTCGATATGCTGTGAGTAGTGGACCTAGGGTTTTTCAACTAGAAAAGTCCCTTAGTACAATAGATCAGGGGTCTATGTCCATAACTCAGTATTATAATCTGTTTAAGTCCCTCTGGGATGAGTATGTTACATATCGTCCGTTATTCAAGTGTAACTGTGGTGCTTTCATCAATTGTACTTGTGATTTGTTTGAGGCATTGGCTCTGGCACAGCAACAGGACTCTGTTATGAAATTCTTAGTAGGTTTGCATGACTCATATTCTTCCTTAAGAAGCCACTTTCTTCTCTCTACTCCTATGCCTGCTTTGTCCACTGTTTACTCCCTACTTCTTCAAGAAGAAAGCCAGAGATCCCTTACCAACACCAAACCTACTGAATCCTTAGCTATGCTTGCCAAATCTCAACACTATAAGCCATACTCAAAGAACACCACACAGAAACCTCCTACCACATTCCCCAAAGACAAACCTAAACCTAAATGCATCCATTGTGGTTATAACCACCCTTCTGAGAGGTGCTTTCAGGTGATTGGCTACCCAGACAACTGGGAAGGTCCAAGAGGCCCTAGAATTCATCCAAACCACAATCCCCATGCTTCTGCCAATGCTGCCAATGCTGAAAACAAACTCACTCCATCCACTTCTGATTCTCTCACTAACAGTTTACTTAATGAGTTCTTAGAGTTCAAAAAGTCTCAGGAAATGAAAAATGTTAGTGGGACCAACTCTGTGACTCCCCTGATTGCAACTGCTTATGCTGAGCAAAAAGGTACCTCTCCTACTTTCTCCTGCACTACATCATTGTTTTTATCTAAATCAACATGGATTTTAGATACTGGAGCAACAGACCACATGCTATGTGACTTATCATTGTTTGACAGTATTCCTGCTCCTATTAATATCAATGTCAATTTGCCTAATGGTAATCATACCAATGCTACTCACTCTGGAAATGTTCAATTGTCTGCTCATCTTTTGTTGAAAAATGCATTATATGTGCCTTCTTTCAACTTTAATCTCATATTTGTTTCTATGCTCACTGCCACAAACAATTGCATTGTTCAATTTGTGTCATCTCATTGCATATTACAGGACATCTCAACTCATCAAGTGATTGGTTCTGCTGAGTTGAAAGATGGACTGTATCACCTCTCCATGCCAAATACTTCTTTACATACTATCTCTAACAATGTTGCTTTACATACTGTTGCTGAGAATGTAACTTCTCCTTTACCTGTAAATGTTCCAATATCTACATCTGAACTCTGGCATTACAGAATGGGACATCTTTCCTTTAATAAACTGAGTCAATTACCTATATGTACATCTTCTGATTACAAGATTATCAAAGCAAAACCTTGTGATGTTTGTCAGTTTTCCAAACAAAAAAGGCTTCCATTTCCAACAAGTGACTCTGTCTCTGAAAATCCTTTTAACCTTATTCATTGTGATGTATGGGGTCCTTTTTCAACTGTTTCACACTCAGGTTACAAATATTTTTTAACCATAGTGGATGATTACAACAGAGTTACTTGGATATATCCATTAATTCATAAATCTGACACCAAGAAACATCTAGAACGTTTTCATCACATGGTTATCACTCAGTTTAACAAGCAAATCAAAATTATCAGATCTGACAATGGCACAGAGTTCTTACTGCATGATTTCTACTCTAACAATGGCATCTTGCATCAAAAAAGTTGTGTAGAAACTCCACAACAAAATGGTAGAGTTGAAAGAAAGCATCAACAATTACTTCAAGTAGCTAGAGCTCTTATGTTTCATGCATATTTACCTCTGCCTTTTTGGATTGATTGTGTCCTATCTGCAGCACACATTATAAATAGAGCTCCTTCTACTGTTTTAAACAATCTATCACCCTTTGAAAAACTTTTCAAAAGAAAACCTGATTATGAGCATTTAAAAGTCATTGGATGTTTATGTTATGCTTCCACACTCTGTGCAAATAGATCAAAATTTCAATCAAGAGCATCTAAATGCATACTTCTTGGATATCCACTTGGTTGTAAAGGATACAAGCTTTACAACTTGGATACCAAGAAAATACTAATATCCAGGAATGTGAAGTTTTATGAAGATGTTTTTCCTTTTAAATTCCCAGCTTCTCAGTCTTCCCTTTTATTTCCAGAACCTTCTCAAACCGCATATGAAACATCTGTTCCATTACCCTCAACACATACTCTCCAACCCACAAACCCTCCTGACTTAGGACATTCTCATACAGTCCCTACTTCTGACTTAAACTCATGTCCCAGTTCTTCTACTACAAATAATTTGTCACCTACAACTCTTAACCACTCTCCTACTCATCCTTCATCAAATATACCTATCAGAAAATCAACTAGACAAAGAAAACCTCCTGCATATCTCACCTTATATGATCACAACATACCTCCTTCCACATCTTCTAACTTCACATCAACTGGTACATCTCCATATCCTATCTCTGACTTTCTGTCTACTGCTTCTTTATCTGCATCTCATTACAGTTTCACTGCATCTATAACTCAACATACTGAGCCTAAAACATATTTACAAGCTTCTAAAGATCCTTTATGGATTGAAGCAATGCAAAAAGAGCTCAATGCTCTTGAACAGACCCATACCTGGGAACTCACTAACCTGCCCCCAGGTAAACACTGTATAGGATGTAAATGGGTCTATAAGGTTAAGTATAAATCAGATGGTACTGTAGAAAGGTATAAAGCTAGGCTGGTAGCTAAGGGTTATACCCAAGAAGAAGGTATTGATTATTTCGATACCTTCTCACCAGTTGCTAAAATATCTACAGTCAGGTTTTTAATTTTTGTGGCATCTATTAAAAACTGGTTTATTCACCAACTTGATGTGAACAATGCTTTCTTACATGGAGACTTGCATGAAGAAGTTTATATGTCCCCTCCCCCTGGTTATTGCTCTGAGTCTGACACTAGAGTTTGCAAGCTTTTAAAAAGCCTTTATGGCCTTAAACAAGCCTCACGACAATGGTTTCAAAAACTAACATCATGTCTTTTAAAATATGGTTTTAAACAGTCAATGGCTGATTCCTCCTTATTTACTCTAAACTCAGACTCTGATTTTACTGCCTTACTTATGTATGTTGATGATGTCATAATATGTGGCAATAACATGTCTGTCATATCTGATATTAAACAGCACCTTCATGCTTGCTTCACTATTAAAGACCTAGGACAACTTAAATATATATTAGGTCTTGAATTTGCACATTCTGCTGAAGGTATAAACATGTGTCAAAGGAAATATGCCTTAGACATTATAAGTGATACTGGCTTTCTAGGGTGTAAACCTGCTAACACACCCATGGAAGCAAATGTTAAACTCAAAGCTTTTTCTGATTCTGACACATTAACAGATGCCACTGAATTTAGAAAACTGATTGGGAGACTATTATATCTTACTATTTCTAGACCTGATATCTCATACAGTGTTCAGTGTTTAAGTCAATTTTTGAGTAAACCCTCTACAGACCATCTCTCAGCTGCTCACAGAATATTAAGGTATGTTAAAGGAACTGCTGGTCAAGGTATACTATTTCCCAGATCTTCTTCCTTACATTTAATTGCATATTCTGATAGTGACTGGGCTGGTTGCCTAGATACCAGGAGAAGTATCACTGGATACACAGTTTTTCTTGGAAAATCCCTTATCTCCTGGAAATCTAAGAAACAACCCACAGTCAGCAGATCTTCTGCTGAAGCAGAATACAGGGCTTTAGCTTCAACATCATGTGAATTACAATGGTTACTATACTTGTTTGATGATTTTAATATTCCACACTCATCCCCTGCTGTTGTCTTTACAGATTCAAAATCTGCAATGGCAATGGCTGCCAACCCAGTTTTTCATGAGAGATCTAAGCATATCGAACTTGACTGTCACCTGGTGAGGGAAAAAGTTGCAGCTGGAATCCTGAAACTGGAGTACATTCACACCAAGGACCAGATTGCTGATGCACTCACAAAGCCCCTACCAGGCCCATTGTTTCATTCCCTCATCTCCAAGCTGAATGTGCATAACATACACAGTCAGCTTACGGGGGGATAATAATAATATGTGTATTTACATATTTAGCCTTTATGTTGTAATAGTTTAGCAATGTTGTCATTTTATATTCAACACTTTTAGTTCTATTTGTATTTAGTATAAAAGGGCAAATCCTATGGAGAAAACCCTAACAATTCATTTTCCAAATTCAATAGCAATAGTCGTCTTCTTCATCTATCTTTCTCTCTCTCTGTATCTTTCTCAATCACGATCCAGTTCATGTAATAAAATCACTTACCAAAATTTCATCTATTCTCTTTACTACTCGAGACGCAATAAAATCATCAATCAATACAAGTCTCAGATTATCACAATCATAGTTTCAACATCAACATTCCAAATAAAAATCAATTTGGAAAAAAATATATGTAGAAGCAATAAAGTAAATATCATAAACAATGACACCCTCTTCTCCTCATGTCCGCCGCCAGGTACTCAACCTGAAAAATGAAAATTTTCAGGTAAAAATTTATGCCAAAGGGAAATTGGGGGAAGATAAAGAATGAATTTTTTTAAGCGCTACCTTGAATCAATTGTCTAAGAACATATCCAACCAAAAACTCTATTTTTGGAGTTTGTACAGTGAAATCCCACTAGTTTTATAGTTTCAACAGTGTCAGCAACTCCAATCTATTCACTCTATAATTTCTCTCTAAAAAATATTCGTAGCATCTTCTTTTCTAATTTTATTAGATTATTAAATAGTCTTTATAAATTACACTTCATAAAATTTGCATATAAATAAATAAATATATATGTAAATATATATATTAATTATTGATTAATAAGATTACTTAATAAATTTATATTAAAACCAAAAATTACATTTTACACCGTTCCACAAATCTCTCCGTCTGAAATAGCAGAGAGGAGAGACTTGCATTGGATATCATTTTTCTCCAGGGAGGGCGTTTCCGTTTGGTTTATCGGGTGGGTTGGAGATAGGGATGTAGACGAATCAAATCAAAGCGAATCTTAAGACATTCGATTCGAATTCGTTAAAATATTCGAGGATTCGAATTCGTATTCGATTTGTAAATGAACTCATATTTTGGTTCGTATTCGATCGTTTAGAATAATCGAATCGATTCGAAATTCGTTTTCAGAAAATATTATAATTAAAAAAAGACTATAATTACAAAAATATTGTTTATGTTTTTACTATCCAATTTGAGATTTTTTATTTATTTTTTTACTTTTTATGTCATAAAAATATTAAGAATATAACATTATATATACATTTTTTATAAACAAAATTTATACTATATATTATATATCTTTTATAAAATGTATCCAATGATCGTTAACGAATCAAATATTCGATAAAGTCGAATCGAATATCTACAAATTCGAATTCAGCTTCACTTATCATTCGAATATAAAACATTATCCATATTCGAGTCGAAAAAAATCGATTTGTTTACCAACAAGCCTAGTTGGAGATGCTATAATTTCTTCCTTTCAATTGTTTGAAATTGAAAATGTGTGATTAGCTATAGTTTGAACTTTGAAATTGGCGGGGGCTATATAAATAAACAAATAAAAAAAAAATTAAAATAAAAAAATCTTTGTTCAAATATAAAACTGGCCTAACCATATATCATTCTCACCAGCAGATTCTGTTGAAATTCAGAAAATCTAACCGCTCAACAAAATGCACACAACCTCACTCACTCACTGTCCTCATCATCTGTAATAAAAGCCCGCTTCTCTGCATCCGCTTACATCTGTCTGCACAAAATATACGATTTTCTCAACCTTCTTTTTCCCTCAATCTCTCTCTTTTTTCTTTCCACTCATCATGTCGTCGGATTATAAAGAAAAAGAAGAAAGTAAAATCGAAAAGCAGGAGAAGGAGGAGCAATCATGGCTCCCAAAAGAAAAATCGAGGCTACCGGCGCTGTGGAGGAGAGCGAACGGGCTTTACACTCTTCGTTTCAGAACGTCGCTAACAATCTCTCTCGGTTTTATTCTCAGTCACTCGATCATCAGAAGCTCGCTTTTGCCGCTGGCGAAAAGTACGCTTATGTAAGTACATAGAACTATAACAAACCCTGCTTACCTATCCTTCTTTCTTCTGCTTGTTTTGTTGGTTTGATTATCTTATGCATGTTCTGTATAAAACCCGTTTTCGTATATATATTGTTGATGAT